ATTTTTTGGTACTGGTACCAGGATCATCTTCCACGGTGTTTAAAATTTCTAGTTCCTAATTTCACATTATCCGAATTTGCTCCCATCCAACATTAGCGTACTGACGTTCAAAGCTCCCATAATCTCTTAAATGTTGAGCCAATCCGACAAACATTTATTTGATATCGTCTTCATTGCTCCTGACAAAAAGTAGGCTCTAACCATATCAGCTCTTTCTTCATTCGTTTACATGCCTTTTCAAATGTTATACAAAAACTTCTGTACCGTCACTAATCATTGAAATAAATAACTTTATAATATTATACACTTACACCGTACAAACCTACTTTCCGAACACCCTTTTGCAAACCGATAAAGTCGAAGACTAAACTAAAAATGGAACCAAATGAAACAGTGAAGTTTTCGGTCATTTCCGGTTTATACCAGGTGCGAAGACAGTCGGTGTATCCTGTTTCAAACGCATGCTGCAACAGAACAGCGGTGGCTAACCTCCGTTGCACCTCGGAAGCGTTTGGAACGTGACGGAATTCTACTTTTAAATTTAAGCTGTTCACGGTTTAATTTTGTTGTTATTTTATTTACTTTAGATTAATTTGTATAGCACCGAAGTGGCTGCATAACAAGAAAGAGTGGAAACATACCGTTCTTTTGTACATCCCTGTTTTAATAATTATCCTAAATCTACTGATGTAGTGACAGTAGTAATGTCAGAGGTCATGGACACTGAGATTCACAAATTAAATACACTGAAAAAACAATTACTTTCTATTAAAGGAATCGGTTGTTTTGAATGCAGTTAGTTTACATTTATGCTAGTTACATTGAGATAAACCAGTTACATTCAATACAAGTCATTTGATTAGTTTGAATTAAAAAAAGAAACAGTTTGCAACAGATTTGTCTATAATTAACAAATTAGATTTAATATAACCATTTATGAATTTAGAATATTTGTTAGGCGAATTAAAAGAATAAATTTTTAATACAAATTTATATTCGTTTTTATTTAATAAATATTATTTTATATTGGCCTATCTAACGTTACAATTAAACTTTAAAGGAAAATTATTCCAAATATATAGTTTCTTAAATGTGAACCAGCTGGTTATAAAAGTTAAATTTTTATATAGTTTAAAACTATTATCAGTTCAATAGTAAAATATATTATTTAAAAATTATTCCAATCACGTGACCAAGTTGTGTTCTCCCCTGACAGTCGTATCTTCGCCATCATGGCGACTATGTATGCAAGCTGCCTGTAGTGTATTGTTTAGTTCAGTAGGCTAGTATGGACCTCGGTATGGACTACGAGTATATCAAAAGGTAGTGTTTCTTGTTGTTCTTAGATCATATTCATAATATAACATGTGCATATAGTTACAGAGTGCTGTGTGCTGTGTTCCGTTTACTCATCATTAAAATGGATGCAGAAACTGTGAAAGTTAGGGTCAAACAAGTAATAATCGTCAAAAAGTCAGTTTTAAATAAGGACATAGTGTTGCTGTTGTAATTTCATAAATTTATAATAAAACCCAATTTAACAATCCGCCAATTATTTTTAATCATTAAACTGTCAACAACTGTGACAAGTAGTTTTGATCGATATATGTATGTATATAATAAGTTCGGAAAATACAAATCTTAAAATTAATTTTTAGCAAAAATGAAATGTTCGAATAAAAGTATCGTATATACTCGCATGTGCTTCTCTATTAGTAGATCTCAACACTATGTACCATTTCAAAAATTATAAACTTAGTTAGATAAGTTATCTAATTATCAGTTTCATTAAATTTGAGAAAGTACATAATTTTGAGACTAATCAAGAAAGAAATACGTCCAATTTTAGCGAAAAAAACAATTCACTTTTTATAAACCATTCATTTATTAATATTAAAATAACCTATTTTCACTGAAAAACTGTTAGTTCACATTAAGCTAAGATATATTTCTAATAATCTTATGTCATCTACATCTTAAAATATGTAGATTAATAATAAAGAGGCGAAATGTGATATTACACTAAAATAAATTAACATTCAAATAAGATTTATTACAAAACTATGAACTTATTATTAGTTACTTTTCACAATATATATGCTAGGCAATATCCAAAACTAGGATTAGTTCACGGCAAACGATATTTATTTAGTCCAAATAAATCCTGTTTTCAGTGTAGGTACATTGGTGACTTTAAAATGACACGTTGCTAAATTATACAAAAGCAATATGTTTTACCAAATTAGATTTCATTGTCGCTTCTCACAGTGTAGGTTAATTTAAAAACAACTAGCAACGTGGATAGTGCACTAATACGTAAATTCTGCACAGTAGCGGCGTACACACAATATATAATATTTTTTATAGTTTCAAACGTTTCTGCAGAGATGTGACATACTTAGTACTTAAAAATATCGATTGTCATCTATATTTGAAAAGTAATCTACCCTTTTTTTTTTTACTAAATATTGCTTTGCAATTGCATTGAAAGAATGTTTTGTAAAACTTCTATCTTTACTTTGTTTTTTCTAATTATAAAAGCAGGTAAAGGGAATATGGTGTTATGTAGAAAATTGTGTTCTGCCAACATAAAAAGGAAAAGAAAATACTTGTAGTCTTTATATAATTCAGATCTGTACGCATGTTATTGTTATAATGTATTCCTAAAATTCCTAGAAATGAGCAATATAAAATAATAAAACACAAGGTCACACAAAGTTTTCTAATATACGCTACCCCTTAACGTTGATGAACGTGAAAATATTTGATTAGATCAGAACGGTAGTTGATATTTTATACCATTACCTTTATAAGCCATTATACTCTCTCCTAACAGTAGCGTGTCTAAAAATTCAAGAAAGTGGCAAAAATTATGTATATGTAGTGTAAATATATACAATATTTATTTTATTAATTACAAAAGGACTTAAATTTATTAGTCTTTCAGAATCCTCATAAAGAAAAGGCTGGGCAGAGTTTGTATTAATAAATTTTATAAAATAAAATTAACTTGAATGGAATGAAACACGATTTTCATATGTGGGAAAATTTTATAATTTTGCTCAAAAGTGGTTAAAATTAAATCAACACTTATTTCTATTTGAGTTTAAAATGTAAATTTGGAGCATTAGAAAACTATCGATATTCCAGCAAATGCCGCATTTCTTTTTTCTAATTATTGCTATATGCGGTTAATATTTGTCACAATTTGTTTGGCTACAAAATTCAGATTTTAAATCGTTTGAAAACTTAAGGTAATAAAAAGAAATCACTTGGCGCCCTTACAAATACATATAACTACAAATATTTTTTTATTATAACAACCCACTAGCGACTAAACTGTTGTTAATCGGACATACCCTTTTATTATAACGCCAAAGTTAACGCAACAGCTTATACACGTAAACTTTGACTTTGATAGCAAATTTTCTAAAACTTTTGTATTACTAATTTCTAATTATGAAAGTAAGAAAGATAAAGGAGTGCAATTTTAGGAGAATATCCCTGTATATACAAGGTGTTAACGAAATAAGTACTAAAAAGTACTAAAATTGGAGTGTATGTAAAACATGTCGAAATATGATGAAAATACAGCCCCTTGAAGGGGAAACAGGCAACAGTTTTTATTGCATAATTTTAAAACGGTTTAATATTAATCGCGAAATTTTGGGATTGTATTACTATTTATATGCTTAATAATCGGCATAATATATAAATCAAAATTTGCTACAGGGGCGTAAGAAAATGCGGGACCATGGGTCAAATTTAACATTTTTTTTTCTACACAATTTTTTCTACTTCCTGAACAGAAATTATGAAAATTTATCATATTTTGCATAAAAAAGATACTCTTGTTAGATTTTAATAGCATGAGCCATTTTCTAGTAAAATCCATTTCAATAATTCATTATGTGCTAAACAATTTCTGATGAAAATAAAATGTATCAAATTCTGCCAGGAAAATTTTTTCGAACACAATCAATGTAGAGGTCCGTTAGCTTGTTTAATAAGCTTCAATTTGCTTTTTGAAAGGTCTTCGTACGACTATGGGTTATCGAGATATTGATCGTTGAATGAAAATTTATATATATATGTCTTTAATCATAGATATCTCAGCAACAAATTATTACACAGTAAATCCAAGGGCGATTTTGGATGACCATGACAGGTCCTTAAAGAGAAAATCGTAATTTTTCATTCAATCCATCTCATCTCGGTCAATAGTCGTACGGAGATCTTTCAAAAAGCGAATTGAAACTGATTAAACAATCTAACTGACCTTTACATTTATTGAGTTCGAATAAATTTGCTTGAGTTCATGGACAGTCCTAAAGAAAATTTTAAAATTTTTTCTAGACGTATTTATTTTTCCTCAATAATTATAGCTCAAAACAAATTTTTTGTCAAAAGATCTTGAAAATAGTTTTTTTCTATTTCTACACAACCATTTTTCACTGGATACTGGATACATCTTTTAAAAAATCACTAAAATATTTATGAAATATTTTTGTTCCTTTAGTTCTTTCGAGTAGTGTATAAAATTTATATTATGTCATCGGTTTAGTTTACGTGATGTCACTGTCCCGTAAGCGTCATTATAAATGAACTCCACTATATGTTTTTCATTACATCACACTTTTTTTATCGTGTAGGTTTTCAGTCACAAGCATTTTAACCAAAATATTTTCAATGTTTTATTAACTTGTTAAATTGAACTGAAATGTGGAAAACCCTATAGGTACCTAGGGTAGTAGCTATGGATTTTTTTTATGTTTTATGAAAAAGGTCAGAAGGGTTTTGCAAGGTGATTTATTTTATATATTTTTTAGAAAATATATAAATATTCCATTTTCTCGTTATATTTATCAATAGTTAGCTTTAAGTTGTGTAGAGTCAAACTATCTTTTCACTAGTGTAGACAATATTGTTAGCAAATTTTTGATATTCTTTGGAATTTTCTCTTTATAACATTCAAAGTAATATATCTTTTGTTGTTTCAGGCCGCCAGCTACGGAAAGAAAAATGGCATTTGGTACGCCGCCCCTGGGGGCCAGGGCTGGAGCAAGGCCGCCAGCAGGAAGGCTTCTATAGTCGAGACGGATGCGCCGCCCCCGGGGGGTGGTACCATAAAACCCAGTTCAGGAAGGGTCATTAGGATAATTAATAATATGGACCATACTATTCAGGTAGAGTTCTAGAATAATGCTCCTAATATTTTTGTAACCGGTGAAGAGAATTTTGTAAAAATACCAATATTTAATTTACTTAGAAAATATTTTTTATATACAGGGTCATTTAAAAATTAATGTTTCTAAATTTATTTACAAATTAAGATCGATTTTGTTAACCTACGTCATTCTTAATCTCGAATAGGATAGCATGAGATTCTCCCTTAGTCTTGTACAATAATTATGCCTGTCAGTGCGAGTGATTAAATTATTTAAATTTTTATGGATAAACAACAGACTGTCTAATATATAAATGCAAGGCATGTGTAAAATTCCATACCTCTTAAAAAGTGGCTTACAATGTGTTCCATAAGGTGAAAAGTAAATGACCCTAACTGTCGCTTTTTGTAAGTAAAATTCTTATTGGATTTAGCTGAGTTACCCCAGAGAACAACAGCGTAACCACTGCGAAATAGACATGGGCGTAGCTAAGAGGGAGCAGGGGTGTGCACGGCCCACCTCAGAAAGCCCGATTGCTACCCCAGAAAAAAAGATTTAATATTATCGCCTATCATATCGGCACATCGGTAAGTCGTTGACAGGTTTTTGAAATTTTATATCAACAAGTTGCGAGAGCTGTTTTTTAGATGCTTCATAGAGCTTGCAGCCATGGGCCACCCTAAGCAAAAATTCTAGCTACGCCCATGGAAATAGACCATCATTGTGTTGTTATCCAAATATGATCTCAGCTATCGTATAACAAAGATTTTGGTTGACAGCCTTGCACAAAGACTCTCAAATTGAGCCTTAGAGCTTTTGATGATGAATACATTTTTTGTGCAGAAAACATTGAGGGTTTAAAACATGCCGTCAAAGAACCAATTTTCCCAAAGTAGTAAAATTAGGGGCAAAAGAACCTCACGCAATCATACAATCTCCGACACTGATATGAATAAAAATTGAATTAGCGATCAAAAGTACCTAATAATGATAATTAAATTCTATATTTCAAACAGCTCATGAGATATCGCTAAAAAATTTAAAAAATATCTTCTTTTTGACACCCTATATCTCGATAACGGTGCATTTGCGGACCCATGTTAATAAGAACTTTTTTTCTTAGAATGAGCTAAAGAATTAGATCCCTCATATTCCGACATATGTTTTGAAACACCCTGAATACTGAGGTTCAAAATAACCAATGATCTAGTATGTAATTTTACATAAAAGTTTGAACTATATTCGTCAACAATGTTTGCAATCAACTTTAGCAAAATTTTTCCCAACAACGTACTGACTGACAACTGAACATTTTTATTGTTACAGTGCCGGGTCCTCCTCAATCTCCGCACCTCGCAGCCCTTCGAGGAGGTCCTCGAGGATCTAGGGCAAGTCCTCAAGATGAACGGCGCCAAGCGCATGTACACCGTCTCCGGCCAAGAAGTGCGTAGTTTCTCACAACTGAGGAACGAATTCGCCGACGTGGATACATTCTACTTGGGCACCGGCAGCGTGGGTGGTGCCGTTACGCCAGGAGTGATGTTGTCGCCTGTACGGAGGGCTCGATCGAGGGCCCCGCCAACTGCCATAGTGGAGGATATCAGCAAGCAGCGAAGGGCGAGGAGCAAGAGCAGGCCGAGGGCGCTGTACGCTCCTGAGAGCGAAATAGTTAGGACAAATGGTGAGTGAAATTAATTGTCGTTTATGAATTTGTTTTGCAGTTTCTGTGTAAGAAAATATCGTACGAAGGGTTTTAAACATTTAACAAATCAGCCTAGTGAACAATGGTAACTGTACAGGGTATTACAAAAAGGCCGTACGTAATGGGAGAAATATGCAAATCTAAACCAATTTTTTAGTGCAAAAGTGACATACAGAAGATAAAAAAATTAAGACAATCATTTTTCCTTAATATTTTTGACACAGTAGATATAAGAACCAAATTCGGTTTTCCATATTTAAAAGTCTCGACTTATAAGATTTCCGATTAAACATTCGTTCTTCATACTATTCTAAGAATAAAACGTGTTCTTAGTTGGCATTGCTAGCATCATCCGTTTCGAGAAAAAAAGGAATTTAATTTTGCAAGCCAAGTGACAAGTAACCATAAAAAAATCAAGTCATCTTATATTTCCTACAGATGCATTTGTTTATCAATAATTTGAAGTTTACTTGTTCCTAATATTTTGCTTTTTTTAAATCTCGTTTTTAATTATAATATTATAAATTAAATAAACCATATTTAAAAGAGATGCCTTGACACAACTTGTATACTGGGTAGGAAAGTACCGATGGTCTATCTGAAGTTACGTGTCTATCACATAGAAATCCATGTGATAGACAAGGATGGGTATAGTAAAGGCGTCTAATAGTCACCGCCCATTTGCCCCTTCCACAAATAAGAAGTGGATCTTATTTGTGGAAGGGCGAAACGGGCGGTGACTATGAGACGCCTTCATTATAGCCATCCTTCTCTATCGCATGGATTTCTATGGCTTACTTTATCGCTCTCACGTAACTTCAGATAGACCATCGGTACTTTCCTACCCGGTACCAATAGTGGAATAACAGATATAATTTCGGTTTATTTTCAACAAAATGTTAAGAAGGTATTCAGAAACACCAATAGGTGTCAACCAAGTTATTTTCAAGTCTGTTTCAATGATTGGAAGAAACGGATAGCTTTAGACATCGTAATCAAAATGAGTAATTTGCAGGACATAGACAAGAAGAAGACATTTTAGAAGTGGTTGAGGAAAACTCAAATATGACTATCTGAGAAAATGAAATGATGGAGTAAATTCTTGACATACCTATCATATTAAAAAAGATTAGATTGTACGTTAAATTTCGGTTGCTTTAAAAAGTCAAATTTCTTTTTAACTGGGACTACCTTGATATTTTTACACAGTACTCGATATACAACAGATTTTTTGGGAATACTGAAATAACATCCGTTAAGTAAAATATACACTATACAGGCTGTTATAAATTCGCTTCTCACTACAGGGATCTCGGAAACGGTAAGAGCTACGAAGTAGCTTAAATGCGGGCAAAGTTGCCCCCATTTGGATTTCACGGGGTATAACGACACTTACAGTGTAAGATACCTAATTCAAGAAACAAAGAAATCTCAAAAAAAATTAGATACATTTGGAGCAATTACACTGAAGATGAATTTTTCGAGACAAAACGTCTGAATCTGGTTCGGGCTGAGGCAGTACAGTATTGGGGATCATGAAAGCTTGCAAAAAGTGTAATAAAATTTCCAGGGTTGTATTTAAAAAAATGAAGTTGATGATGGTCCTGGAGAGACGAAGCGTTACATATAAAAATTGATTATGCCATTCGATAGAGGGCAAAAAGTGGCCATGAGAAAGTGTTCTTCTTTTTTCAATATTACCTCAAATCGAATAAGGCTGAAATTAAACAAAAACGGATTTCCAAAAATTTCGGTTCTTTTCAAATATTTCGAAAACTAATCATGTTAGCCTTGATTATTAGGCATAATGTTGGTCCCCTGATTACGCAACTTTTCCCCCATTTAAGCTACTTCACACCTCTTACCGTTTCCAAGATCCCTGTAATGAGAAGCGAATTTGTAACAGCCTGTTTACATGTTTCTTCAAAAATGAGATTTCGAGACGAATATATCTTGACTGTTAGTTTTGGGTTCATCCACATCAGTATAAAATTTCACATATTTTCTACAATGTCTGTAGAACAACTGATAATAATCTTTATCTATATATTTTTTTTGTATTTACAATAAACTAATTTGATTAACCAATATATTGACTAGGTTATTATAATATAAAAAAGTGCTAACAATACAGCAGCGAATTGTAATAAATCTTTGAATAATTTGTTAGATTAGAAATTTAATGCTTCGATCAGTTGACTACATCTTCTACATCTCATACCTACTTGTTTTTGTAATCATAGGTTGCTTGACAGGTTAGATAACTATATTTCATACAACTACTTTATTTAATATTCCTTTCAAATACTAAATTGTTAATTTTTATCTGTTATCTTGTTAAACTAGTCAAATGTAGGAACTTATATTTCTCCGTCATACAGGTTTTCTTTTATTTCAGATTACACTTTATTAGAAGTTTTAAAAGAAGAACCAGTTAGGGTATCTATAAAAGGCCTTAGGAGAACCTTCTATCCCCCCATACATCATGCACCGATGGACAATACTCCACCTGATAAAAAGATGTTGTTGGAGTGGGTGTATCCTTTTATATAATACATAGGTTTAAGAAGGGAGAGACAAGTCGTATACTACATACAGGATCAGTCTCCCCTTATTGTCCCCACTACGCTGTTTTGTTATTGAACAGCTCTAAGTTATACTACAAGTTTGGTCTATTTTAAAATAATAATTCCTCCACTTGGTCACCCAGACGCAGAGAACGGCAGCCTTTGAGCAGATAATGAATTTGAACAAGTTGGTAAATTTGAAAAATAATGTTAACACTCACTCATCACTAAATTACAGTTCTACCATCCCGTGTACAAAATAACTGTTACACTCCTTGAATTTAATAATGTAATTCGAATTCTTTAAATAAATATTAAGTTAATCTTTTCCACACAGCTGATACGATAATTTTGCCTTTAATATGGGCACATATTAATATACACCGTGTCCACCTAGTGCGCGTAAGTCCAATATCTAGGTTAATAAAATATATAACTTAATTTTTTTTCTACAGAGTTGCCTACTTTCCCGAGCTGCACAAAATGAAAATATATTTGCATATACAGGGTGTTCAGTTTTCCTGGGCAGGTACCTACCAACTTAGTTTTTTAAATGGAAACCTATATTTTTTATGGCATTATCGAATTCTACGTGAAAAATTAACGGGACAATGTGTCATGATCCCTATCAAAATATTGATAGTTTTCGATATACTTCGACTTTTCATTTTTTTTTCATATGTTTCGTCACTTCTAGTAGTTGACATAATTATGATTGTATGACAGCTAGAAATTATATTTTTTCAGGAACTGTAGAGTGAAGATGGCTCCTTCAAAAAACCTATCAAAAGTTGACCTGCGATATACAGGGGGCAAAAAAATCGTGCCAAACCTGATAATTTAAAATTTAAAAAATCTCGACTTTTTCAAGTAGAACACCCTGTGTTTTATGATTTCATTAGATGCCTTTCTGTAGACCCTACAATTTTTTAATAGCTTTCCCTATACCTAAGTTGCGTAGTTTTTGCAAAAAAAAACATTTTTATGTAAAATACCGGATTTGCGCCCGTTCCTTTGTCGGCAAAAAATATTGTAAGGGTATTTATTTTTATTAAATTTATTAGTTGTCTAGCTACACTATTTAAAATAAAAGTTAATAACTGAAAAATTTAAATATTTGAATTTAATAAATAAGTCTGGAAAGTAACCATTTATTTGTAAATAAAATCAAAAAACCATAAAATCGCTACAAGTGATTAAGAGTTAGTAAAATATGGGAAATGTTTGCTAGCAGCACGTATTTACAAAGCAAATAATCCAAATTTACAGAGCTTCCCACTGTTTTGAAAATGTGAAGGAAAGGTTTGAATGAACAGCAAATGCGAATTACGAGAAAACTACCAGGAGACATGAAAGTAACAACGATAATATTTAGTTTAAAGTTGTGGCGTCTGCTGTTGAAAATCCAAATATTAGTGCCAGAAAATTAGTAGTAACTTTGGAGTTTTCAAAAGCTTGACAAATAAAATATTGAAGAAGTTTCGTCCGTATCATATTGAAAATCAAGCACTGTTACCATAGTTAGGAAAGTTATTAGTGAAATTGGAGATTAAAAAATTTGGATGAATAGAATTTTGAAAAAACTAATACTCATAGTCGCAAGCTAACTTAAAATAGATGTTCAAACTGTCCACCGTTGTTTTCTACACAAAGCATTAATCTACGATGAAAATGAATGTGGACATTTCTTAACATTTGAGGCGTTATAGTTAGAAACTCGTTTTGAATCTTTTCTTTTAAGTCTTGAATATCCGTTGGTGGTACTTCGTATACTCGCTCTTTGATATAACCCCACAAGAAAAAGTCCAGACTATTTAAGTCAGGCGAACGTGCGGGCCAAGGAACTGGACCACCGCGACCTAACCACTGGTTTGTAAATACCTGCTGCTAGCAAACAATTTCCATGAGCTTCTCCTAATACACCATTTTCACTAATTCTTCTTTTGAATAGTTCATTGTATGCATGTTTAGTACTTTCTCTGAACTCGTACGTGAATATTCAATAGAAGACGAAATGACATGTAAACTGATTGTCACAAATTTTATTGCCTGACAGGCGCTCACTGCGTTTTTCCCGACAAAGGTACGGGCGCAAATCCGGTATTTTCCATAAAAATGTTTTTTTTTTTGGAAAAACTACGCAACTTAGGTATAGGGAAAGCTATTAAAAAATTGTAGGGTCTACAGAAAGGCATCTAATGAAATCATAAAACACAGGGTGTTCTATTTGAAAAAGTCGAGATTTTTCAAATTTTAAATTATCAGATTTGGCACGATTCTTTTTGCCCCCTATATATCGCAGGTCAACTTTTGATAGGTTTTTTGAAGGAGGATCTTCACTCTACAGTTCCTGAAAAAAAAAAAAATATTCTAGCTGTCATACAATCATAATTATATCAACTACTAGAAGTGACGAAACATAAGAAAAAAAAATGAAAAGTCGATTATCTTGAAAACCATCAATATTTTAATAGGGATTATAACACAGAGTCCCGTTAATTTTTCACGTAGAATTCGCTAATGCCATAAAAAATATAGGTTTCCATTTAAAAAAATTAAGTTGGTACCTGCCCAGGAAAAACTGAACACCCTGTATATGCTAATATATTTTCATTTTGTGAAGCTCGGGAAAGTAGGCAACTCTGTAGAAAAAAAATTAAGTTATATATTTTATTAACCTAGATATTGAACTTACGCGCACTAGGTGGACACGTTGTATATTCATTTTGAAACATAAAAGACAAAAATTATATAAGGAACATCGGCAATTATGATCATCTATTTCATATTGTAATGTAGCAAGAGATAAAGAAAATGGAAATGATGGCTATGGCTGGGCACGCTCAAGAAAGTGGAGCGATTAAAAAAATTTACATAATCGTAAGAAATGCATGTCTATGAACAATGCTACGAAATAGAAAAAAGGCGTGCCACTTTAATATAGCCCCGATAAAAGCTTAATTGCCACCTCTTGGTAATTTCTTAGGCAGTATTAATGCACTTCTAAAAATACATCATAATTTTAATTCAAGATCTGATACTAAACCATACTCTAATAAGGAAATAGGCACAGTTTTTAAGACCTGTGATACTCTAAAACAGAAGAGTTGAATACAAATCACAATATTATTGTGTCAGCATTATTAACTATTTTGTAATAGATACACATTATTTGTCATATTAAATTTTATCGGTATTTTGGAAAGCACCCATTAGCTAATAATACGTTTTTTACAAAGGGTTTAACTTTAAGTGGAGGGTCAGTTTATTAGGAGTGATAGTACGTGTTCCTCTGAATGCGAATTCTTTTTTTTTTTCATCAAATAAATAGTCGAATTATAATTAGTTTTAGTTACCAGTTCTTTCCGTTCGAAAACAACTGCAAAATAATTTAGTTGTGTGGCTTAGTGACGTGCCATTTTAAAGTCAGCATATCTTTTTGATATCATTATGGACGAAGCGCCGAACATTACAAAAACATTCTATTATTCTTAAAATTTTTATATAATTTATTAAATACGAACTATAATAATACGTATATACTTTACTAATTGTAAATAAAACCAATTTATGTTTTAAAATAATTACTTTTGTCGTTTTAAAAAATGTTTGTAAAAAAATTGATAAAAAAATTAATCTGATTGACATGAAATACTTTGTGAAATCGATTCAAGTTTTTATAAATAACTAAGTATTTGAAGCAGTACATTTTATGTCCGAAACTCAGTATCAATGAGATTTGACCTTCATCTAATTTAACTGAACTATATTAATGTCACTACGTAAAGCAGATAGTGTCGTATTTAGGAAAATTAAAATAGATAATACTAAAAGGTTATACAATAATTCTAAACAAGATACAGCATGTTTCTACCCTTTTTCTCTGATTCAGTCTCTTTAGTAGCCAATCCGTAATAGACATTATCGAAAGTAGACAAAACTGTAACAAAATTAAATCGCGAACAGATTAAAATTAAGCAGAATCCGATTCTGTCCCGAACGCTTACAAAGAGCAACGGAACATAGCCTCTGATGCTCTGTTAAAATTCCATACAACCACTTGTGAAGAGCCATCATTGCCAGTTGATTTCATACCCTAAGTAATTTTAAGGAAAACCGTTCATAAAACTATGCGCGATCAAAGTTTCATCTAACAAAGAATTTTTAAATATTTGCACTTAGTGAGCACCGGTAACTTCTGTAGATAATTATTTTTTATAAAACTTTTTGCTTGTATAAGTACAAAAGGTGTTATAAAACAAGCTTTTTTCTTGAGTAGAAAAAATAATTCAGACATAAGTCGTCTAGCCATACGTTCAGGTTCTATTCAATTTGTTACATTTCTTTCACATTTAACGATTATTCGTTTGTATATTCTTGTAATACATATCGTGTGTCACCTCGACCACCATCCCGTAATAAATTATACATAATTATATCGCACAAATTCAGTTTCTTAAGTTTCAAGGTACTATCGCATTTTTTTCCTGGGCTAAACATTTATTGCCACGCACGACATCAAACACGAACTCTATGAATATGCAAAAATTATTACAAAAAGTTTCATTAATATTTACCGCACATAATTATATACTTATCATTTAAGCATACTCCAATTTTCCGACTTCTTTTTTAAAGAAAACAATTGTTCATCCTTTAGTGTTCAAGTGTTCTTTTAACAGTATTTAAAAGAAATTTTACAATCTTATGCTGTACCAAGAAAAAAACGTTGGCCTAAATGACGAGAGGCAATACCTTTAAATAATATTTTACTTGAGTAATTATAAAAATAGAGAGAATAAGATCACTTGATTTCGGTGGAAGTGGTTTATTGTTTGCAGTTGTCTTAGGTTAAAATGTCTATGATTTAATTGGTGTCTATTTTGTCACTAGCAATACATTATTGAGGAATGTGTCAAATTGTGTCATACAAAAAGCTAGACAAAAGTTTTTATTCAAAGTAATTGAAC